GAGATTTACTGTTGTGCCACTGGGGGCAGGTAGATAGATATTTAGTTTTATCATTACTCCAATATCAGTTATGACGAATATACCTTTTTATATTAATACTTTGTTTATGTAATATGCTTTATAATTAAATATCTTTTGTAATATTCAGTCAATTTACACAATTAATGTCAGTGATTATTTTAGAAAGTCGCGAGAGTAGCAACATAAATTATAATAAATCTTTAACAGTTGTTTCAATAAATTAAAGTCACTTACTCGTTTGTTGTCTTAAAATGAAAAAATCAACACTGTAAAAACAACAATCACGAATTCGTATTTCTACCGTGAGTTGACGAACCTGCTACGGTATCAAAATAGTCTTAAAAGAACTGGAAGTAGATTGCCAGTCATTTAGACGACAGTATTGCGATTTTTTTAGCCCTGCGAAACCAGTTCCACTTTTTGTTTCTACAGTTGATGGAACTAATCACCCTATGAATAGTAAGTTAGTTTTTGTAACTGTACTCTGAAGTTGAATATGTTATGCAGTTCACACTTGCTGGTTTATTAAAATGCAATTACGATTTTAGGTTTTCCCATAGTTCTACTCCACATAAACAGAGAAACTGTGATAACAGAAACCATACAATGAATGTAAAATGGCCGGTAATAATAATATTCATGTAGGTTTGAAGAGTGAGAGAGAAATGTTATCACTGAAATCAAAACAGAGTTTGGTGAAACTATAAATGGTAGTAATGTATGAATGAAAATAACTGAAGTTTTGAGCTTAAATGTGGATAAACTAAGATTCAAGAGAAAAAGCAGATTATAAAAACAAAACCATTTCAGTTAAAATAACTGTGTGTTCTGTTCGAAAAGAAACTAATATCATCGACTTCGAAAAAATGTTCAATAATAGATTTTACTCTACGTACATCATCATTTATACGTATTAACGCATTTTGCATGTCTTGACTTTAATGTTGGAGTAATTAAAGTTCGAAATTATTGTGATGTTGAAGAAACGGTTTGGCATTAATTGTGAAACCAGAAAACTTTAAACCGTTCATTTTTCAGCTAGTTCCTTCTTTTAATTATAATGGGGTTATAATTTAATTTAGATTTAATAAAATAGGTTTTATATAATTCACGAATAGTTAGTTACACCGGACCGAACGTCGCTTAGTAAATATCGTGCCCGGACTATGAATTTGACTTCATGGTTTGCATCCTGTTGCTTCAAAAATTCGTTCCACACTTTAGGGCTGTAGGAAAGCTATGACATTGAGAGTCAAGTTCAATTACCCAGTCAGACAAGACTAGCCTAAGAGTTAAAGGTGAATGCTGTTGAGTGGCTGCTTCCAATTTAGTCGTTTATCTCCAAATTTAGGGATGACTATGTGCCGATATTCCTTGTGTAGCTTTGCGAGAAATTCTAAAAGACAAGCAAACATTTACACAATTCTAAATAATATTTCAACTGTCCTATTTAGTATTACTTCTAAATTATTGATATGTAGACTATACATATATATCTACAGGGTGATTTATTATAAAAAAAAAAGGTTTCGCAGTCCAGTGCATCATATCTCACAAACGGTATGACATAGTAAGGTGCAATTGCCCAGGGATGTCAAGGGTATCATGCGGATAACAAATGCTTATAGTTGTCCCATATTGCCAAGAGGCGAGACACTATGACATAATGTCTGATCAATTACAATATCTGTTCAAAGTCTGCTTCTCCAGCGTCCAGAATGACAACAAATATTACAGCAAAAACACTCATCTCATTTGATATGCTGGCCATTTCACGGACAATTGCATTCTTAAGGTCTAGAACTGTACGAGTATTCCCACGGCACACGTGTGACTTCAGGTACCCACACAACCAGAAATTGGCTGGTGTTAGGTTCGATAAACGAGGTGACCATCTACAAGGAAAGTGACATGTATTGATTTTGTCCCGAAAGTACTCCTACAAGACGTGTTTCATCTGGTTACCAATATGCAGAGAGGCGCCATCCTGCTTGAAAACCGTAGTGTTTATCACATGATTCTTTGCTGAAGCATAGGAATCACATGTGAGAATTGCATGGTACCGTGCAGCTTTGACTGTACAGGTTTACAGTCCATGTCCTGATGGTTTCTCAGAAAGTCTGGTCCAATAACAAAACCATCTGTGAAACTATACCACACTACCACTCGAATATCATGGGGATGTATAGGAAATTTTACATGTGGATTAGTCCCGACCATATAATGTAGTTGCGCTTGTTGACATTTCCATAATGGGTGGAATGTGCTTCATCAGTCCATAAGATATTGGCAGATCATTGAGTTCCACAAATGAAAACACAAAAAACCGTTGGGTTAAATCCACCTCCTTAAGTACTTGAACATGATGTAATGAGAGATTCTCAAAGTGTACAGAAGAGCCTTAAGAATAGTTGTAATTAGAAGATCCAGATGACGGACGACATAACGTACACTGCTGCGCCCATGTGCACTTACGCTGGCCTGTTCTGGTATGACATGGCTGACCTCAGCGATAGTATCACAGATGTCGGTAGTCTACCAGTACATGGCTTTTCACAAGTGCAATCTGCCTCCTCAAAGATTTGTTTTCTATGCACATATGACCAGCAGAACTCGGACAAGGCCCTTTATAGATGTTACACACTCTACAATATTCCTTGAAAGATGCCTCGATATTGCATCTTTTGGTGTGATAACGTTTCTCCTCCCTGCACACTTGTCATTTTCATGTTGGCTGAATGAGCTGCACTACGATCTACAAGTACATTTATACCCATGGGAAATAAACCACAAAGACGACCCTGAAAGCAATATGTGACAACTTAGACATTTATATCCGCTTGATATTCTTAATATCCTTGTGCAATTTCATCTTCCTCCTCTGCCATGTAGTTTGTGATATATGACACGCTATATTATTCGAATTTAATTAAATAGTATAGTCGACAAAAGTAATTGTTTTTCTCCCAATAGTTCATATTCAATTTCAATTTTAAATTTATTAAAATCTTAAAATACTGTCAGATTGAGGAATACGATGCTAAACGCTGTAAAGTAGAAAAACAAACTAATGGTTTTAAATTCGTGAACAAATTTCACGCTAGACTAAAGATATTTTACTGTGCACATTTATTAGATTATTACCTTTGATTTTAAATTCATAATGGGCTAATAAATAAGACTGATATAAAAAGAAATATCTGTAGGTTAGCATAATTTTTATGGTGAATATAAATAATAAAATTCTATATAAAATTCAAAAGTATTTGTGCCAAGGCTATTAAGGTTGTCTTGCGACAGTTCCTAATTTTGAACTACTGACCAGAAGTAAAACAATAACCCTCTTCCATTAAACTATTACTTGTACGGATTCGAGCTTATCTCATTAGCTCCCAAATCCAGAGTTTTACCACAGAGACAACCAACGCTCTAAAAGTTAAAAGATAAATCTCACTTTACCAAGCGTCAATTGTTTGCAATTATAAATTCCTGTAACTGATATATGATATTAGAATAACAAGAACAATATATATTATTATCAATAATACCATGATCATATTAGACGATTTTTTAAGTTTCTTAAACTTTCTAAATCAACATTTATTTAAATTATTATCAAAATTCTGGATGATCCAATTAATCATTTAAAAACACTTATATTACTAATATGAAATTTCCAAATTTACTAGCATTTATTGTGTTTTTTTATGTGATATTCTGAAAACACTTCAACGTAGATAACAAAAAATATTATAAAATTACTAAATTTGTTACAAGTGTGAATTATGTCAGTAAACAAAAACAGGTGTATTAATTCTTAAGATGAGCAAAGATGAGAAATTCTTCCTGAGAAAAGTGCATAAAAAGGTAAGCTACAAAATTAATAACACGAAACCAAAAGTCTTAAATATTTCAGACACTTAAGAGATAAAATGTTTTCTTTAAAAATCGCAAACCTTAAGCTTTGAAGAAATAGTTTTAGATTTAAAATAAGTTTTTCATAAAATGGCATCTTTGTTATTAAAGAGGTTGATTACGCTGCTTTACGCCAGGGAAAGCTGGTATATATATATAGTTTTAATTTAAGGTAATAAAGACACGTGAAAACAGAAGTCTAAAAACCGTTAATGCGATTTCCAGTTTTTCGTACCTGCTATTTTAAAACGGTTTCTCAAACATTCCAGAACTTACATTCATGTATTCTGTTTTGCAGTATTTTAGTTTTATTTATCTATCATCGAATTTTCGAACAATTAATTAAATTAAGAATTTACTTGTAAGAACTACGTAAAACTTGGATAAAGCAGTGGTATTATCTTATGAAATTTGCTCTCATTTTGCATATGACCATGACTGGAAACCAAAACAAAAATAATCCATCACATGTTATTTGCTGAAAAAAGGTTCTTCAGTTGCATTCAAAGAATGTGAAGACTTGACTAATAAAATGAGCAGCTGATAATAAATTTTACAAAAAAGGAGACAACTCACAAAAAACACCTAAGCTAGAACAAAAATATTTTTCTATTAAGCACAAAGCTATACATTGGGCTGCCTATGTTGTGCCCAATGAGAGTATCGAAACCAAATTTTAAACATTATAAGCTCTCAGACTTACCGCTGAGTCACGTTCGGAAGATAATTAATATCTGATATGAACATGTATCAGGATGTACAGAATTAAGTTTTAATAATACATAAACCTAACATTTTCAATTTAATTATGAAATACATTTGGTAAGGCACGACAATGGTTAATCCACATCTTTGCATGACTCAGTAGTTGATACAGTTTTTTATGAGTCACCATGGTAACACAATAACGAAAGTAAGAGAGATATACACCGTTAAAGCATATTATCAGAATCCCATTAAACTAAGTGTTCATAATCGTTATCATTGAGATAAAAACTAAAATTCATATACTGTTAATATAAATGTTTATTACTCATTTATTGACTTTTTATCTGCAACATTAGGGTTACTTCGGCTCCAAAATATCATTCAGTTGACAACAGGGAACTATAAAATGCGACTCAGCGTGGTGAAGAGATTCACCAACGTTTCCGACGCTAATGATTTCCTCCATTCTGTGGAGGCACATGACCGAGATAGTGTGAAGCACGTGCTGCTGGACTGTACTTCAGAAGTGGCAACCAATATTGTCATAAATCACCTAAGGGATATCTATATGGGGAGAAGAAATTACCATTTTCTGCTTTCAAGTTTGGTGAGTTTCTTGTATCAACTTGTTGATCATTACCTAAGCTTCGCAAACTACGAGTGCAAAAAATAAATTAAATTTATCAAAATATTTGTTATCATTTAACAATTTATTGTAGGTACTTGGCAAATGTTTTATCACGTACAGTAATGTAAGTTATAAGCTATTTGTGAATGTTTATATGTGTATATATTTCTTATAATAGTTTGAAATCCACAAGTAAATAGTAAAGTTTTTGTTTTTAATTTCTTATTAATAAACATTTTTTCGTAAAAACTATTCTCTAATGTCGTAGAAGATTCACGAGCGTAAGAATCAACAATATATGTATGTATGTAAACGCTTAATGTAGCTTTGTATTGTTAGGTAATCTGAATTTTCTAGAAACTCTCCACACGCCTATAAATATAACCAACGCGACGCGCCAAAAAAAAGGAGTATCTATTATTGGTTTGCTGAAGTTGGAGTACTATAAACTTCGTAAGCTATAACTGTGATTAACGCTTATTAATCTGGAAACTTCAGATATTTGACCAGGAAAGTTCATAAATTTCGAGCATTACAAATCATTTCACTTCAGTAGATTCTCATCGAACATTAGTATTTTTACGAAAACATTATATAACTTCATCGTGAAAAACTCGGCGTGTGTGACAGGTGAATAACGAAGGACAAAGCTAGCTAGCACCCCGTTAAACGAATCGTACATACATCAACTCGCTCATCGGGAACCCTCGATAAGATATCAAGGAAGTTCCAGACTAGAAAGAAGACTTTATATTGATTGTAAGTGTGTAATAACTATTTGTAATAACTGTTATTGTAAATTGCGTTATTGTTTGTATATTAAAACGTATTTGTATTTGAAAAAAGAAAACTGTGTGTATCAATCTTGTTGGCAAATATCATAAATTGGAGATATAGTGGCAAATATTCAACTACTAAATTTAAATTACCATTTAGCTCAGACCATTCGAAATTGTAATAGGTAACAAATAAGAGAAATAAATATGGAAATACATTGGCGATAAACGTCAAAAATAGTACCTTAGAAACGAGTAGTGACAATTGGTTTCTGTATTCATAAAAGGTACAAACTATTATCACAGAAAATACAAGAGAAAATCGAATGCACTTAATTACACTGCTGCTATATAGTTTGTTAAAGTAGGATTGTGGAATATTATTCCAAATTCTTCTACAATTCACTCAAATTATTTAGTTTCTTTTTCATCTCCTCAGTTTTTACACAGTACATACAAATACAATAACATTTATTTCAAGACCGTGTGAAGGCCAAAACATGATCGTGATTGCTCTATCGGTCTCTTTATCGTTTCTATAGCTTTCCACCACATTTAATGTGTGCTTGGTATCATTATCTTGCTGTTAGATCCATCCTTAAACTATGAATCGGGTTCCTGAGGGAATGGTATGATGGATCAGAATCGGGTTACGTTTGTTAGCAGTCAGAATGGTTGAGATACAGCCCCAAACTTGTACTCATACCTCATCAAGCTTCACCATAGATGTGCACTATAGATGATACCTTTCTCTTCTTCGCCATAGAAAAAAAAACGATCGTCGATTATTGTCAAACAATTTAATCTTGTGCGCCCACGTCTTTGTCTATGCTCATTCCACTGTTTGTGGTTTGATGCTAAGTTCCGACATTCTGGTTTGGCTGCTTTTTCACAGCAGGGTAATATTCACTCCTGTATTAATAGTACGGTCTTTGATAAGACGTGTACTCAACCATGGTCCATCAACTAAAGTATCAACTTGTGAAAACTCTTGTGAAGTATATATTCACACAATAAATGGGTGGCATTTCTATAGTATTTGCCTTTTATACCCTTTTCCCTAACCATTTTCAAAATTATTTTCCAATACTCTATATAAAAGTAAAAATTCTAAATTTCCCATAGATTAATTTCCTATATAGAATGATAACCACATGCTTATAATTTCACTCCTGTTACGCAACAGTTGGGGGAAGAGAGAAGATAGGGGAGATTGGTGAGCTAATATTTGTTCTTCTGTGTGCTATTAGATCACTTGCATGGGATAAAAAATTTGTTCTTGGAAGTCGCTTTTCATGAAATGTACGAGTCATCAGACAAGACAACGAGTACAGATCAGGATTTTCTGATTAGCTGCTCTTTTTGCACTTCTAGTGTATTTACAAATATTATTTTTGTATGTTGTGTAAAAGACAATATTTAAACCCAGAACAGAACTTCCACAAACACACAACAGAGTAAATGTATAGCTTATTAAATAATATTTTATCTCATTAATAATATAGATCTGACTGAAAATTATGATATTAAAGAATAATTAATTTATAGGCAGAGTGAGAATGGTAACTGACGATGTACGGTTTGATCACCAAGTAGGGATACTAATTAATGAATAGTTCGCCATGTACCCTACCATATTTCTGGTAAATTATACTGTTTCACCATCAAGTAGGGATGCTAATTAATGAGTAGTTCGCCATGTATACTACCATATTTCTGGTAAATTATACTGTTTCACCATCAAGTAGGGATGCTAATTAATGAATAGTTCGCCATGTATACTACCATATTTCTGGTAAATTATACTGTTTTACGAGGCACAGTAAAACTTATCCAATTTTTTGAAACTTTCTTAATCGAGAAATTCTCTATGAGCACTGCATCAATTTGAAACTTTTTAATATTACAAGCTATAAAACCTACCGGTGTTTCTAACATAATAATACTTCAATTTTTGTTTTTAAGTTCGTAATCCACGAGCGTATCTGCATACAAACACATATACACAAATTTTTGAACGATAAGAAAAAGCTGTTAAACAAATGTGATATTTTTTATTGTGAAAGAGAAAGTGTTGCAGGAGTACAAATATTCAATATAATAGCTAGGTAGCCTTAATAGATAAAAAGTAGTTGCTACAGGGTTATTTAACTCTTTAATTCAAAAGGTTTGTTTGTTTGTTTGTTTGTTTTTGAATTTCGCGCAAAGCTACACGAGAGCTATTTGAACTAGCCATCCCTGAGTTAGCAGTGTAAGACTGCCAATAGTGGGATTGACCGTCACGTTATAACGTCCCGACGGCTGAAAGAGCGAGCATGTTTGGCGGGACATGGGATTCGAACCCACGATCCTCAGATTGCGAGTCGAGCGCCCTAACCACCTAGCCATGCCCCGCCTAACTCAAAAGTAAGAGTATTCACTTGGCCTGTGAATGATATAGGGTTCGATATCGGGTAAATACAAAAAAAAGTCAACTTCCAGCTCTAGAAACTAAATATATTAATGGTTTTTACCAGTTGCGCTTGCGGTTGTAATAATCATTTATCATGTCTTCTTTCTTTTTTTTTACTTAATAAAGTATGTAAGTAAACAAGATTTTTTGTGCCTTCTAGGATTTGTAGATATTTACTTCAATTTCCTGTTTAATCATATGTTTTTTGGTTTTTTTTTATTTACGCTTCTAGAGCACACATCCTGTGCTTTGCCTTTAGTGTCTAGATTTCTATTGCTACCTTCAAATTCAATTCAACTTTCCTTCCAGATCGTCGATGAATACTGGAATTCTAGAGTTCTGGAGTTTGGTGCAATGAATGTGACAGGCCTGAGGCTCTTAAAACCAAACAGTCCTTCCTTTAGAAAATTAATGGCATCATGGCAATTTCTAGACCCTATTATCTGGCCAGGGGCTGGATTAAAGAATATTGGGGTACGTATATTTAACATGAATTTACGATATAATAATGGATGTTTTAATTGCATTTTGATTGTAGTGTGAATAGTTGTCTGAATTTTTCCATGCAGTTCTACAAACAGTTGTTGGTAGCTTGACAATAACATTTTGCCAAATGTTTTTTTTTGCCAAAGGAATACACAAAGGTTTTTGATTAATAATAAGATTTGAATAATTGCAAAACAAAATAGGAAACCATAGTATACTTGTGTAGCCTGTGACTCATCCCTTTTCTTGACATTACAGAATGCCATAATTTGAAAAAATTGTAAATTAGTCCTGTCATACTAAGGGATAAAAGTCATCGTTAAGTTGACAAGCCAACGCCATTTCGAATTTAACTTGTTAAATTAGCCCTGGATCTGTGCCTACTGTGTTTAAATGTCACTTACTTTAAAATTAACCAACCTACAGTTTGCGAATAAGTTACTTTATAAATTCACAACAAAATCATTTATCGTAAGACTGGTATTATAGTACTTTGTTTCAATATTTAAGTTGAAAATATCCTGTGAAGGGATTGAAGGATTACCTAAAGGTTTTTCTGTCTTGTTTCTTAAGTGTTTTTTAAATCCCTTTAACTAGAAAAACAAATAAAACATCAAAGAAACAAGTAAAAAAAAAGATTTCTTTGCTATTTTTGATCTGTCGATAACTCCTTTCTGTTTTACTAATATCTTAAACTTCAATAAACTTGTATTCTTACAATGAGTGATGTTTTTATGAGTTATGTCTCAATAAACCTCTCTAGTCAGACGCAGCTTTGATCTATGATGGAGTAAATGTGATCTTGAGTGCTTTATCCAAAATCATCCGTGGCCCATCACCAGTGGACTTCTATATTGGCGTTTATAAGAACGGAAGTAAGGGGACTGTCTGTGACACTTCTTACATTAGAGCCTGGGATTACGGATATAAACTGACATCTCAGTTGAAAAAGGTATTAGCTTTTCATATGAGCTACTTCAGTTTTATAAAAAAATAACCGAATACCCTCTGTAACTGATCAAATACAAATGATAATTAAATTCGTGAATTAAGTGGGTAGCGTGACAACAAATTTAATTATTTCATACGTTACAAATTGTCTTCCAAATATATAAAATAATTATATTTATAACTTGTTAGTGAAATAAAACTTCAGGCTCATTGGTTAAACATTATTTTATATACATAATCTTAGTTTATCAGTTTATATTACCATGGTTCATTTGAATGTTCACTGAAAAGGTCTGAATACTACCCAAAATGTCAAACAACTTTTTTTCAACAAGTTAACCTTGAAAAAATTAATTTTTATCTTCAGAAATTTCCAAAGAGATGATAACAGTGGTGGCATTTTTCAAAGAATAATTTTGCACTCATTACAGAACTGAAGCTAGTGTTTTTAACAATATTATTCCTGTAATTAGTTTGTATTCATCCTCAAACAGTATTTACATAACAACAAGTAATCGATGAACGATAACAAGCTAGTTATTTGAATACCATTTCAAGTCCCATCCTGGTTATTAAGCGTCTCGTGTGTCGTCTAGTTTTCAAACAAATTTTCATTGCTTATTTCAGTCGATTTACTTCGACCAAGTGAAAGCTTTCATAGCGAACAAATTACATAAAACGCTCAAATTATCGACTGAACTGCTTAATTAACACAAAAACATTTCCTGCAAAATAACATGGTAAGTACATCAGAGCCCTCTTCGTCATAAAAGTTATCCTACCATCATGACTGTATTAAAGATTAACTGTTTCTCATGTTTTATAAGATATAACTGAATACTCTCTGTAACGGATCAAATACAAATGATAATTAAATTCGTGAATTAAGTGGGTAGCGTGACAACAAATTTAATTATTTCATACGTCACAAGTAAAAAAAATTGATTTATTTGCTATTTTTGACCTGTCGAAAACTCCTTCTTCGTAAACTTCACTGACTTCAATAAACCTCAATCAATGTTTAATCATTTAAAACAAAGATTTAATTCAAGTTCTTATATGCATTTTGCATTTTTAATCACATTCAAAAGAAATGGTTAAAATTCATCCTACCATCATGACTGTATTAAGAATTAACTGTTTCTCATGTTTTATGTTTATGCTAAAAACCGAAAAAGGCTTCATAAACGACAAACGATGGTATTAATATTAGAATTTGACACTACAAATCACATCACTAGTAGGAATTAAATGAAAAACAAATACTAATATATAATAAATTTTACTAATTATGCTCAGCTGTTCTCGTATGTGTGCAAAACACGTATTCACGTATTATTTATTTTAAAATGAATTTATTTATTCGATTTTTTATTGTATATTTGAAATCAACATTTTCCACAGTGCAGCTTAGACACAATCGATGTTATAGGCATTTACGTTGTTAGGAATATGAGTCGGTCAGGAATTTCGTACTTCTGAGTCTGTAAGGAATTTCATGCTTCATTTTTTTTTCAGCTGTCTTTATTATTTCATAATTAATATTTATCGAGCACAGAACTTTACAACGAAAGTTTTATGCAAGTCGAAACATTTAAAATAAATGTGCAATATCCTTTGAAACATTATAGTAACGAGGAAAATCACACGTTACTACCTATAATAGTCCTAAAATATCATTGTTTCACCAATTTCTATGTTTTACATCACAACATAAAATATATTATTAGATGTCTCCAGTTATTCCAGCTTATTTTCAATCACTCCAAATGCTATACATGAATATATATATATATATATGATTGTACAACAAATTGAAAAATCTTAATACGTGGCTGTTTGATGATGTTGTTTTTTCACTTCTTATAGTTTTATACTAAAATAACAATTAAGATGTATATTTCTAAGATATAATATTGCGTTAATATAAGGAGATTCCATTAAATATCTACAAAATTAGATACATCAGTCTCTATTGCTATAGAATAATACATTGCAGTTCATTTTAAATAGGCTTATAGAATCGAATCTTGCAAACAAGTATTACTTTGGAACTTATACAAAAGGATTTTTTTTAATTCTCTCTTAATAAACCTTGTCCCTCAGATGCATTAGTTGTCATGGCTTTTGTCCTATCACGCTTTCATCATGTAAGTATAATAAAATAATATTATGTATGACACTGAACTAAAAATAAACCAATTCTTTGGAGTATTTAAAACATACTGTTCCGCAATGTTCAACCATATTTCTTCATTTTTTATCAAAGCAACAGATATTTTCGCCTATCAAAAAATTCATCACATGAAAAGTATAGATGCCAAAGCACTATCCGCCACCAAATGAGAATTAAGAACAACTTCAAAAAAACTTTTACAAATAATTTGTTCCTAAGTTGGCTGAAGCCATTTAAATTATTTATTTTCACACCGTAAGGTATGTTTGATAATGTTAAACTGTAAAATTGCGTTCCTGACAAATAACAAAATATTTACCAAAATAATATCTTCTAGTTGGTCGGAGATAGGTTTATAGACTTACAGCGCTCATATTCGAGGTTTGATTTACCGTGGTCGACAGTAACATAGGATACTTTTGTGTAGCTTTGCACTAAATTATACAAATGCTAAAATAACTTAATTTAGTAAAAAAACGTCGAGTTTCTTTGTAGGTGCCTAATATAAGCTAATTTGGTAACTCATTTACTTATATGCCCACCGCAGGTATCAAAACCCGATTTTTATCATTATAAGCAAACCCTCTTACCACTGCTTTCTGTTGTGTTTTTGTGGATATCAGTACAATTTATTATATTGATTTTTATTTAAAAAATAAATTTAACAGATGTTGTAATATTTATATATACATACCTGTATATTCTCCAGACACTAGTTTAAACTATTTTTCAGGCAGTGTTTAGTCATTTAAAACAAAGATTTAATTAGAGTTCTTATATGTATTTTTCATTTTTTAATCACATTTAAAGGAAATGGTTAATCTCTTTAACATTTTTACAGACAAGGTTATCGGGATTAACAGGAAACATCGTCTTCGATGGAAATGGTTATAGAAAGAACTTTACGATCGACGTTGTAGAAATGACATTTAACAGTGAGATGGTTAAGGTATGAAGTAATTTTATTAATATACTTCAAGATGTAATTAATTATTGGTTACAAACGTAGAAATGGCAATTAGTAATGATATGGTTCAAGTATGAGGTAAATTAAGATAAGCGACTTAAAGCAAACTTAACAATGTCAGTGAAATAACCTTCCTTATTGAAATTTCTAAAATGCGAGGTAATTATGGTAACTTACAGGGTAAGTTTAAATATTCAATTGGCTCCAAGTAGCAAGAGTAAGATGATTTGTAAAACGCGTTTCCAAAATTTTTATTTTCACCAAACAACTTTATGACACTCATGAAGGCAGCAGAAATAACAGTGTAATGATCTTAAATTGCTGCGTATTTCACTTATATGTATGCACTTAAGTGCCAGAAAAGTGTCTGATTATATGACCTTTATAAACCATACCAGCGAAAAGAAACATCTGAATTTCTTAACTATAAATGCACACATATTTTGTGCACGGTCAACATACATTTACAAGTCATAGCGCTAAACCCAAAAAAAAGAAAGGTCGTTGTCGTTTCACAGAAATTGATTAGCTGTACTTACATGCATTATTTTCGTTAGTTAAAAAACAGCTCTAAACACAAATCAAAAAGGTCGTTAGGGCCAGGTGGTTAGGGCACTCTACTCGCCATCTGAGGGACACGGGTTCGAATCCCCGTCCCATCCAACAGCTGTTGGGGCGTTATAATGTGACGGTCAATCCCACTATTCGCTGGTAAAAGAGTAGCCCAAAAGTTGTCGATGACTAGCTCCCTTCCCTCTAGTCTTACACTGCTAAATTATCGCAGATATCCCTCGTGTAGCTTTGCGTCAAATTCAAAACAAATAAACAAACAATCTTCTGAGAGACTTTATAAATAATAGCACTAAAAGTCAGCGAAAAGAAAGGTCTTTGGTTGTATTTGCATCCATTTTCTGGTTCGGCCAAGAGACAATTACAAATCATGGCGCTAAACCGCAACATAAACAGAGCATTAATTTCCGGAACTTAAATTATACCAGAAATAAGGATATATAATATGTCCCCCTTATTTCTTTATAAAGTTTTAAACATGATAAGTTTATAATTCTAAATACATGAACTTAGATTATCTACCATTTACGTTAGTCACGTGTTAAAAGTTCAGCTTTCAACCAAAACGACATTAGTTGTTTTTAGGCAGAAGGTTTCAGTCTGATTTAAATACCTTTTCACCAATTTATGAAAAAACAAAAAGTTCTCTCAATAATTATTGTTTTGGCAGTATAGTAACTAGTTTGGTATATTAATTCATTAACATATTTATAAATCAAATAGCTGAAAGGAAAACTATTTCTCCAGGATGCCGCTATAAATGTTTAATGTTCTCTCATCTAAGAAACCCATGTATTAAATCATATATATATATATATGGAGCCTAATTCCTATATATGATTTAAATTATTTTCGTACACAATTAGTGCACATTTCGCCAAGTTAAGGAGAGGAGTTCTTGTTTTGTTATTTTTTCTCTCGATGATTATAAGCTTATCTAACCAATGGTTCTATTGTTTTAAACGATCTTACTTTTCATCTAATGTTACTCATGTTTTATCTTGCATCTTTTCATTCATCTAGTTTACAGTACGTCTAATGCCACAAATGATTATCTAAGTTTATGCATTTAATGAACTTCCTATGTGAAAACGAATTACGTCTTTTCGACTTTAAAAACTATCTGAAGAAACATAAGAAGTATTTATTATACGCTCCTTTAACGCTTACTACTTATGTTATCTATAAGTTGAAACGTACTCCAATAACATTTGTACGCCGCTTTGAATTACTCAGAAATGTAAATAGGATACAGAAGGATTACACAAGCATTTATTTGTGTAAGTAATGTAAATATTTAAGTAGAACTGTTAATTACCAAATAATAGGTACAGTTATTTTTAATGTTATACCAAAGTAATACATATGACTCTTTTTACTAAGAACAATAAGTTATTAAAGTGTGTGAAGTTAAAGTTTTCCACCCTTTAAGGTGATATTCATGTTCCTGCAGTAACCTCTCAAAGTGTCCAAATGTTTATAAAGGAAGTATCATCGTTTTATTACTCGATATAGAAATGATAAATAAAAGAAAGTTGTTTTCCTTTTATATATCTATACATATATCAAAAATAAATAAAAAAACTCCTTACCCATACTTTCAGATTGCCGAGTAGACATAAATCAAAAATTAAAAACAAACTCCTTACCCGTACTTTCAGATTGCCGAGTAGACATAAATCAAAAATTAAAAACAAACTCCTTACCCGTACTTTCAGATTGCCGAGTAGACATAAATCAAAAATTAAAAACAAACTCCTTACCCGTACTTTCAGATTGCCGAGTAGACATAAATCAAAAATTAAAAACAAACTCCTTACCCGTACTTTCAGATTGCCGAGTAGACATAAATCAAAAATTAA